AATTGCATGAGTTTGAAAAACATGCATGAAAGTGTCCGTTTCATGCGAAATCATGGCATTTCTTTTTCACCAGATAAAGAGGATGACTTCCATACATTTTTAATAATTTTCATGGCATAATATCCGTGTAAATTTAATTATTTTCATGGAGTGAAAGTTTCGAAAAAATTGCATGAGTTTGAAAAACATGCACGAAAGTGTCCGTTTCATGCGGAATCATGGCGTGTTTTTCACTTTCGACATGATGTCTCTGTGGAACATTTTTCATTAAAATGATGTAAATTACATCATGTTTCGCCATTTTTTTATTCCCTGGGTCGTTCAAGCTTTGATATAGGTCTTGATCCACAACTTTATCACTTTAATATAAATGAAATTGCACATCGTACAACACTTACAAACTACGCCATATTCGATTGCCTATCTATTTATCAATTATTAATTAAATTAAATTTGATCAACATCCCACAACAATCATCAATTACATCAACAATATCAATTGATGAAGACTCAATCGAAGTACAACAAACACTTATGGATTATGACCAAATATCATCGGATGAATCAGAACCTGAACGTGAATCACAACAACAACGAACAGTAATTATTTCTGATAATCCAACAATTTCAAATACTAATGAACATCAACAACATCACTCACTAACAGAAGAAGAACGAAAAAAGATTCATAATCGATCGTGTACCCTTAAACAACGGAAAAAATTATATAAATATGAAATTATAAGAAGAGGCATCGATCGAAGATTTACTATTACACAAATTAAGAAAATTCTTCGTGAACGTTCTATTAATTTTGGTGCTTTAAATATTTCAACATCTACCTTAACTAATCGTACATCATTATATATTGGTATAAATGACCAAACATTATTATCTAAATATGAACGTCAAACTAGAAATCTATTTTCTACTGATCATTACGATGAAATTCGTTCACAACAACGTCGATCGAACTCAAATTTCAACTATACTCATCGTTTTCAACATCATAGATAAATAATGATGATTTTTCAACATCCAAATTCATTTGAATACAAGCAACATCTTGCAGATCATCTCACAAGATGATCGTAATATAATATAAACCATAAATTTTTTTCTGAAATAAGTGTTTATATTTTGTTTTTGTTATTTTTCGTTAAATTCGCATTTCTTTGTTTATTATACTTAAATTCTGATATAAAAAAAACAGTTTTCACATACGTCAGATTTTAGTTTTGTTATTTTGTTATTTTCTTTCTTTCATCCGTTATTGTATCACTTATTATTTTTTTATGTTTATCGTTATTTATAAAAAATGTTGATAGGACACATTTTTTCGTTCAATAGGGGAGTATGTTACAGTGATGTCGCCTGTATACACACATTCTCTATATTAGTGTTATCCTCTATGTTCTTTCATCTCTCTTTGATCTCGTATTCGTTCTTTTGCTCTTCTCGATATATATGTATTTTTTCTGTATCGTTAAAAAACAGTTGTTACTTTTCCTTACGAAATAAAGTAGTCCACGTACATCAAGGACATACGAATACATATATCTCTATCGAACCACACATAGAGAGAAGAGAGAACGCTAACACTCTCGAAGGAAGGCCTAAGTGCACGTGTCCTTCTGGGATTTTTCATACCTTATTGAGGCCTATCTATCACCAAACGATGAGCCTTAAAGGGTTTAAACACCTAAATATGTTCTCTCGTAAGTCTATCA